AGCTTATGAAATAAGTTTTGTGTGGGCATTTAAATCACTCGATCGGACATCACATGTGAAAACGAAACACGCCAAAATTTCAGCCTATGAACCATCAAATGACAGTAGCAAAGACTGTCATATACACCACAGTGCATTGCACATCACACCACAATGCATGGTATAGAGAAGAGCTGCTTGTGGCTCTGTACCACATGTCGTGATGTATGTACCACATGTAGCTATGTATTGCTCTAATACATTAATAATTTTGATGATTTTGAAAATTGAGTCTTGGGCCCAAGTTTTTCAAAAAAAATATTTGAATACAATTTTCTCTAATTGAGTGGTGATTATCTTAATTCTCTCATTATATAATTTTGATATAAGGGGAGGGTTACAACTTATTTATTCTTGAAAAGCTTGAAACCTCACACAAAATATCCTATCATAGAGCTTTGGATCAAATAATCCTTATCATCTCGCACACACTCTATTTTATTTTCGCTCCTCTGTCACAAACAAATAGCAAATGGAAGTAAAGGGAAAATGAAAAAGGAAGTGTGTGGTTTTAACAAAAGATGCAGGCCCCACTTTCTCTCTCCCACTTCTTACCTTTTCTTTATTTTTAATTAGTATCTATAAACTTACACACAAAAATGAACATAGCTCCACTTCCTATATTTCTTTTTTTAATTCTTTCTCTCCTTTTTTAATAACAATAATAATGGCAATTATTATTATTATATTTTTTACATCTAAATATTTTTTAAAATTTCTATTAACCTAAATTAACTAATAAAATTTAAATTGGGATGTTACATGTCTCATATTGAATTTTCTTATAATATCGCTATTCATTCTTCTACTTCTTATGCACCATTATTTGAAATTATTTATGGTTTCAATCCATTGTCTCTTACTGATGTTTTACCTTTACATTTTTCTAAGCCTACTAATACAAATGGCAAGAGAAAAGCTAAGTTGGTACAAGACCTACATGCTAAAGTTATAGCAAGCAAAGAGAAAAAGAATGAGCAATGTACCAAGCAAGCTAATAAAGTAGGAGACATGTGATCTTTGAGTTTAGAGATTAAGTTTAGTTACATTTGAAGAAAGAAAAATTTTCTAATCAAAAGAAATCCAAACTTCAAGCTCGAGGAGATAGACCTTTCTAATTTTTGGAAAGACTTAATGATAATGCTTACAAGATTAATTTGTCAATGTTTCTAATTAATCTTTATATGATTTTGTAGATTCAATGATGAATCTTTTCCAACTGGGAAGGAATGATAGACCCCATGGTACTAATGAGATGGCAAGCAAGCTTAGAGAGTTTGAGGATGGCAAGCATGAGCATGGTGGCGTGAAAAGAGCCTAAGGAAAGGAATAAGGAGCCCAAAACTTCCAATCCAACATACTTAAGAACCCTTTATAACATATTGGAGGCCCAATGACAGAGCTCAAGCTAAAACCATGAAGCAAGCCTTGTTCAGTCTTGTGCAAGAAGTCCAAGAGCTTGAAGAGCACTGGGGCACGTCTCTCAAGCCTAAAGGAGAGTATCTAGGCATGTATAATATTCTTAAGATTTAAATCAATGAACAGTCAAGCCCAAAAGCAGAAAACCCTAGCCCAATGCAAGGAAAGACTACAAACAGAGTCTCTTAAAAGCAAGGAGGCATGAAACCCAAGTGAAGAAGTCAAGGGTGGTGTGATTTTGAGTCCTTATGATCCCTTGATTTTCTCCTCAATTGTTTCCTAATTTGATAGTCCTTTGACTTAAGTCCCTTTCTTAAAGAGTAAGACCAGTCCTATTTTGAGTCTAGTTAAAGATTAAAATTAATTACATTATTTTCTAAGTTTTATAATCTCATAATTTTAGGATCACATCTCTTAAATTATATGACTGAATATTTTCTTTTTTATTTTATATTATTTTCATCCTCCTTTTAGTATTACAAAATTCAAGTTTTAATTTTAAGAAATTGTCTTCTTTATGAGCTTATATATATTAAGCGTGTTCTCTCTTGTAAATAAGAAGAGAAATTGAATAAAATTATTTATTTTAAAGTTTATAACCCTTATAAGCCTTAGTGCTTTGTGGTGACATTTCTTATGAGAAATAGACATGACTAAAAACTTAATCAATTCTTATAGTGTCTTAAAAAGTTGAGATTCCTAAAGGTAAGTGCTCTAAAAGATCTTTTCCTTAATCATTATCCCCTTGTTTATTCATTTCTTTCTTTATTTTCTTCATAAATTTCATCCATTTCTTTTTGTTCTTGTATTTTTATTGTGTTTTAGGGTTTTATCCCTAAATTAGCATGATTCTACTTTCGCATCCCCTATCAAGGAAAGTATGAAACTTATTCGATAAGCGATTGGTCAAAACTAACTCCTAGCACTGCGAATTTCTTTACCCAAACACAAAACCACTACTTCTCCGCCTCTCTCATGTTTTCTCTTTTTCTCCTTTCTAATTTCACGAACTAACTACATCCTTAAAACTCAAATTCCTATGCCATGCGCCACGATGCATGTAGCATATGCTATAATGCATGGTATAGTAAGAAAACTCTCATTGTAGCTCACACGATTCACTCTAAACCACTATTCTTAACTCAATCCTAATCATTCAATAGTAAAACAAGCCAAAATATCAATTTACTATCCAAAATCCTTATTATTCAATTAATCTACTAATTTTACCAATTTACCCTTAATTAGCATTCAAATTAAGAATTCAGGATATTACACCAAACAATTCTAACAAGTTCGTACGCTTGCTTAACTATAAATTTAACGAAGTCTGACACCCCATTCTAATATGCCTTAGATAGATGATTGGTAGACATCTATTCTTTATCCATAATTCCTAAAAAGATTAAGAAGGAAATGTGATTAGTGAATTTGATTATTCCTAGATATCGAGAGAGTTAGATACAAAGGTTCAATCAGTCAATGAATCACTAACCACTTGTTTGCCCATTTCCTCTTTAATATTATTTAAAACAAATAACTAATTTTTAATGCTAGTCATTGAAATAATTTTGATAGTATAACGCTTAAAAAAGAAAGTTTCTTAAGCTTTATGCCCTCTCTTTATTAATCCAAATGACAATAATAGCAAGAGCAGTAACAACAATCACATCAACTTATACCCAACAACAATTTCAAAAAATTTAACAGTATAATGACTTAAAAAATGAATATTACCCGGGCTTTATGCCCTTAGAAAAACCATATTATCAACAACAAAGATTATATATGATCCAACAACAATAATAACAATATCACTAAGAAGCCAAGTTTTAATGAAAATCATATAATACACATCAAACACTATATATATATATATATATATATCAACTTAAAATCTCAAAACTATTATAACATAAGCCAATTTTCAATCAATTCAAATACTAAAAATGTAAAAATTGACAATTCAAATAATAAAAAAATATAAATTAATCATTCAATTACAAAACAAGCACCATCAAGAAGAGAAACCACTAACAAGAACACCAATAGAGAGACAAAATAATCAACATTTAAACAACCCATTGTGTATGTAAATCAAGATTAATAACCCACAAACTCAAAATGAGGATTATTGATTGGAAAAGCAAGAACCAACCTCAAGAATAAGAGAAGATGCCAAAAATGGAGAAATGGCAACTACTTGAGCAATGAACCCACTTCCACGAGCACAATTGATTCCAAAAATCCAAAACTAACAATGGAACAAGTGCAAAATTCTATGCATGTTTTGGTCATTGGAGTGACAAAATATAGGTTTCAAGGGGTTTGAAAGTTAGAAATGTGAAGAGGAAAAAGAATATGAAAGAATCTGGACAATTATCTTTAAACAAGTGTCAAATATATCTACCTCCAACATAAATTAAGATAAAATATATATTTGATGTATTGTCATATAACTGCCAAGTACAAGTTTAAATACTTGACGGTTATTTTGAAATAACCGTTAAGTATATAATATCTTTTTTATCCGTCACTTTTGATATATAATTGTTAAATATATGATGTCAAATTTAGATAATTATGTAGTAGTGGGCCTTAGGTTTACAATTCTTTTTTCCTTACTTTGTATACATGTGTCTAACTTTCTTGTATTCTAGGGTTTGTCCCATAGCTATTTAAGGCTGTAATTGTCTCAGGCTCTATGTTCGTCAATAATATATTCCTTATATAGAAACTTTATTTTGGTTTATGATGAAAATTGATCAAACTAATCATATTTTTTTAATAATTAAATGTAATGTGTTTTTTAAAATTATAAAATAAAATGAAAATAATTTTAAGATGTTTCCATTTTTTATTTTAAAAACAAAAAATAAGAATAGTTTTGATAACAATTAATTTTAAAAAACTTATCAAAACGAGTTTTTAAATTTTAGTTTTAAAAATAGAAAATAATTTTTGAAAATAGAAAGCGACATGGTCCCAAAACAGTGTGAAAAAAAAAAAAAATCTTTTGCAAGCCGAAATTGTAAGGGGAGGAGGATACAAGTACTTGTTTTGAAATAACACGAGTGGAAAGAAAGGATAAAGGCACATGGCTAAGCCCGTGTCCACACTCCACCCTGAACATAAGCGCTCCCCTTTACACACAAGCATGGAGGGGAAGTTACCATTGCCGTATTAAAAATTTTGTTCATTAAAAAAATAAATTTTTGTTGGTTATAACAGTAATTTGGTATGAAGAGATTACGATATGCTTAACATTTCTTCATTAACTGAAACCACTCAACCTAAATTAACTGAAATTGCCGAGAATAGAGAAGACAACCCACAATGAAGGAAGTCAGTTATTGACAGTTAAGGAAATGAAGAAATCAACCACGTCCAAGCATTCTGGAAACAGCACATTATAACTAAAAGAGGAAAACAAATGAAGGAAGAAACGAGATTATCCCCTAAATTCTCGTAAAATCACAAGCAACCCAACGAAGGAACTTAAAAGCCCCCATGGCTTCCCCCTTTATTGCACGAAACACAGCTTCATATATATAATTGTTAAATCCCCCTTCACCCTCCCCAAGGTGCAAGGACAGGGGCTAACTGAAACACAATGGAGTTGAAGCCTAGGTTTGCGGTGCTGGTCGCGGTGGTGGCAGTCACCTTGATGGCAATCACGACGGCGACCGAAGCCGTCTCGCCGGATTGGAAGGACTTTTCCATTGACGGTCAGCTGGTGGGTGACAGGGTAAGTGACGAGGAAGAGATGATGATGGAGTCAGGTTGGAGCCATCGGAGCTTGGTTGAACGAAGGTTCATAAGCTACGATGCTTTGAAGGCCAACCAAGTCCCATGTGGTCGACGAGGACGATCGTACTATGATTGCAACCGGAGAGGCAATGCAAACCCTTATCGCCGAGGTTGCACTGCCATCACCCACTGTGCCCGACAAACTGACTGATATCTTTATTCCTCTCCACCACCATCACCCAATCACTCACTTCACAAGACCAGACCATGTTTATCATAATTCTGTGCTTCGTGTACTAATAATGCAATGAAATTGTATTATTCATTCACTTCACCTTACTTGTTGCTCGATGCTGCTTCTTTGTTCCTGTTTTTTTTTTTTAATTTTCACAGAGAAAAACAATGAATGAATGAATGAATTGGGATATACAAATTGAATCCACCAACGATGTATGTATTGGTCGGGGTTCAATCTTCACGATTATGTCATGAGTGATCTTATTTTACATATATGTAAATTTAATGATATTAAATATATATTGTGCATGTGCATGACTCATGAGGTCGTTGAAATGTTAAGAGTAAATTACTTGTCGGCAATGGCGGACTCATGAGGAGGATTTCAAGCACGAGTTCGTGAATTAGCAAAAAAGAAAAAAGAAAAGGTAAAGAAAAAAAATTAAGAACAGGCTCATTAAAAATTCAGAAAATGAAGTTGGAAAGATCCAAAAAGTAAAAAAAAAAAAAAAAAAGCTTTATTTGTTGACAAAGTTCTTCAACTTTTGTGTTTGGACTTTGGATTTCATTGTTTGAGAAAGTGTCATTGATCTCTCTTTCATTTCTTTTCCTTCTATCTTGCCAAACAAAACGGTTTATATTATGTCGTAAATCAAAGTTAGATATTTTGTTTAATCGATTTAAAGCCACTCTCTATTATTATAGAGTACTAATTAATGCTATATTGTGAATATTATAATATCATCGTTGCGTTAAGTAAATGTGAGTTCGTGATAGCAATTTTGCCAAACTGTTGGTTAATAAATTGTCTCTTAATTAATCACGTACGTCTTTGGCACCGGTGATTAACATAAAATTCTATTGTCTGTCTGTCTGTCTGTCCATCTATATATATATATATATATATATATCAATCATTAGCAATACTAAACGATTTTTAAATAATAATAATAATAATAATAATTGGGAAAGCGTTGCTGCATTTTCGTCTAAATTGTGCCATTGATCGCTTCAAGACTCAAAGACTGTCACTCATCATAAAAGCCAAAAAGCATTTTGTTATATACTCACACTTTCAATCATTTCATATATTTTAAAAAAATTAATTTTTTTAATATTAAAAAAATTATTTTTTTTAAAGATGTACTTTTATTTTTGTTCTTAATTTTAAATAATAATATAATTATATTAAATATTTTTATACTAATCAAACAGGGATAAAATTAAAAATAATAATTTAATTATTATATGATATCTTATATTTTAAATTAAAAATTAATTTTCAGAGGCATCTGTATCTTATAAATATAATTGAAGGGAATATTATATATTAACTCAAGCTAAAGTCTCTGCGCTTGGCTTGATTGGAATTTAAATTTCAGTGTTTTTTAATTTACGTTAAGACACCAGCCGATTTTCAAAGGTCGCATTTGATCCGACGATAAAATTCACGATAAAAAAGAGACCCTTTCTGGATTTCTCGATTCTTCCGATAAGCAATGTGTGTTGTTTAAATATTTTATAGAATGTATATTAAAAATATATTATTTTTTCATCATTGCTTGAAGGTTTGAACCTTGAATACACCATACATCACACCAACTTTTATTACCTAATAAATTTTAATCATTTTGACTTGAAAAAATAGTTGGATTGACAATGAAACAATTTTAAAAAAATAGATAATTCATCCCAAAGTTACAAAATCAACTATTTAGATCAATAATTCGATTTTTTTATTATATTTCAAAGAGAGTGCAGAAAAGTACTCCATCACAATTTTGAAGGTGTTTCATTATTTTAAAATATAAAATAATTTGATAATAATAAGACTTTAATGATAAACATTTTTTTAATATTACTCTTCAAAAGGAAAGGAAATTGAAATAATTGTATATTTAAAATTAAATTAAATGAATAATATTTTTAAAGTTTATATTTTTATTTTAAAAGTAATAACTTTTTAAAGTATCTTTATTAAGTTTTATTGGTATATAGGTGTATAATTTTGTATCAAATATGTTACTCCTTCTATTAAAAATATAAAGTATTTTTTGAGAAGTTAGAATATTAAAAAATGTAACACATTTGTAATCTTTTAAAGTATAATTATTATCTTTTTTTAAAAGTGTACCTATTGCATAAATTACTTTATATCTATTTTAAAATAAAACACCTTAAAAAATAATAAATATAAAAAGATAAAAACTAATTGAAAAATAAGCAATAAATTTATTGTTGGTAAAATATGATTAAAAATTCTTTATATTTTTTAAGTGGAGGAGAAAGATTTTAGAAGGATGGAGCACCAAATAATTGTTCAGGATGAAAAAAATGAAATAAATTATAATAACGGGGATAGATCAATTGAGGCATTGCGAGTTGGCGACTGAATGCCTAATCGGCGAGAAAGAAGACGACAAATCGGGGAACCAAAACAACGACATTAATAAAAGGAAAACAAAGAAACTTAAGAAGCAATAAGGAAGTAATAATGGCAGCGTTCAAGAATTCAAAGAGAGATAGTCAAATATGACATGATGGATGTGTGGTCAAATCAAATAAGAAATAAAATAATAGAAATATCAAAGCCATGTGAAAGAAAATCACAAAGGAATCATCATAGATATGAATAATGATAAAAATTCTTGTTCGTTTCCAAATGAAAACCCACCACTTGCGAGACACACACACTTTCCCTCTCTCTCTCGTCTATTTCCTCCAAACGCTGATAGAGAGAGAGAGAAGAAGAAGACGACCTTTGAAATGGGGCATCTTCATGCCAGTAGGATTCAGAACATGGCACATGTTCTCCTTTCTATTTCAATTTCCCCATTAATGTAATCACCCACCATCACCCTGCTTTTTTCAAAACAAAAAAAAATGTATTTTTTATTAAAAAATGGAGTTGATTCTTCGCTTTAGTGCTTAAATGAATTTATATACCATGAATTAATCCATCAACGTTTAGTTTTGAATGTTGTTTTCGTTGTCATCTAATTTGATCCAATTGAGAGCTGGCGACTAACTAAAACAGAAGTCAAATTATTAACAAGATATTGAAACAAACAAACAAGTTCAAGGATTCAAATGATACCAAAGTAAACAACAACAACAACAACAACAACAAGCCTTTATCCCACTAGGTGGGGTCGGCTACATGGATTGCAAGACGCCATTGTGCTCTATCATTTATTAAGCTTTTAGAAATATTATTAATTAAGAGATCACGTTCAACAACTTCCAAGAGTGTTCTCTTAGGCCTTCCTCTACCTCTCTTAATCGGACTCAAAGTTATATGTTCCACTCTTCTCACTGGTGCCTCCCTTGGTCTTCTTTGTACATGCCCAAACCATCTCAACCGATTTTCTACCATTTTTTCCTCAATAGGTGCCACCCTCACTTTTCACGTATGTGCTCATTTCGAATTTTATCTTTACGTGTATGTCCGCACATACACTCTTGGAAGAAGCGAAAACGGAAGAAAAATAAGACTTAGATTTTTTTTCTACTCTTTTTTTTTGGTATACAGTAACACCGTAAACCGCAATTTATAGATCCATCGGGGGGAAAAAAGTCCAAAAAGAAAAAAAAAAATCAAAGCACTGTTTTAGGGATATTGGCCAAAAAAATTTTGGAGGATGCTCATAATCATAGCGGTGGGTGGGTGAAAAAGTTGAAATGAGAAAAAGAAATGAAGTGTGAAATGGGACTGAAAAAAAATTCCTGAAACAATCGTCATCCTGATTCACAAATAGACAAACAGCAAGAAGCGAAGATGATCATCCCAAAAACAATGTCTTTCTGACTGGTTCGCAGAATGGCTTCAATATTTTCTTATCTTTCAGCATCACATGCCCCACCAGTGTCCCCCACCTTCACTTTACCATCTTAAAAGGGCTTTTGGTCCTCCTTCAGTCAAATTAACCATTATTATTTTATATTTCACCCCAAAAAATTAAAAAAAAAAAACTCAGTCATTGCATACCCTATTATATTTCTTCTTGTTTTTACTTATTTTTACGGCCCCTCAATTCTTTACCGCCCAAGGTTATGGATGAGTCATGGAAGGGAAATTGTTTCTCAACCATCAAGACAATGATCCCACATCTTAAATTGAATATACGGATAAAGCGAATTAAAAAAGAGATAGCCAAAGGAGGAAGATCATTTTGACTCAACTAAATATGGGAAGTGGGGTCTCTCCACTTCCTTTTCCTCCATTTCCCTCCACTTCCCCATCTCCACCATTCATTAATTTTTTTATTTAAAAAAATTATTTAATAAAAAAATTTGAATGATGATGATGGGAGAAGTGGAGAGAAAGGAATGAAAAAAAAAAAGGGAGAGACCCCTGGTCCATATGTATGTATGGCCTTTCATAACTTCCATTACAAAGAAATAAATAAATATTGCAATATAACAGCTCTCACCATTGGGATTTCTGAGAGACGGTAAATATCAACTTTTTTATGGGAAGTATTACGAAGGGAATCTCGCAGAGAACAAAACCAAAATAGTGAAACCAAAAAGGTTGCTCCAACAAGAACAAGGTAAATACCTAGAAATGGCGTCCAACCCAGCTGGATGCATGCCTGGGTCTCTCTCTCTCTCTCTCTCTCACGTTCTGAGATTAATCTGAAACACATCAAAGTCTCTCCTCTAGATTCCTTCATTTTACAATGCTTCTCACCAACTCCATTCATCTTCTTCCAATCCAATACCTCTTTTTTCTTTTCTCACCCACCCTCTCCACTCTCTGCATTTATTCTTCACATCTAAATAGCTAGTTTATCAACTTCAATAAATTCCTTATTGGGTCAATTATTAATGCCCATCAGGCCATGACGAAATAGTAGTAAGTAGTAACTGAAGAATTTGACTGTAAAGGAAACCCAGTAAATGTGGTAACTAACTAACCATTGACCAACCTTCCTTCTAATTCACAAGAGAGTTTTATTGACCAGAACAAAAAAGTTACTATTATACAAACAATGGACGAAGCAAAACATTAATTCCTCCGTTATTACAAATGTCATCCCTCCTCCTCTTCCTCCTCCTCCTCCTCCTCCTATCCAATGCCCGTTCATCTATATATATATATATGATAATCTTGCACCCCAAAAAAATTGAATCAAGAAGATGATGAAGAACCTGAAGCTCTGGGAGATGTGGTCGGGAACAGAGACAGTAATCGAGGCTCGGCATCCCTGGGAGTGGTCCCCGGCGAAGGATGCAAGAAAAAACCCTTCTCTTTGATGGCTCTCTCCTCCGCCTCCCTATCCAAGCCAGGGCTTCCGGTCCCGGGGGCGGAGCGATCAAAGGGGTCGGGGAGGAGCGGCGTGACGGGGCTGAGGACGAGGGACGGAAAGTCAAGGATGCTGGGGGAGAGGATGTCGGGCTTTCGGGGCGAAAATCCGGACCCGAAAGAAGGAATCAAGGGGCTGATGTTGAGATTCTTGAGGGATTTCCTGCGCTTGTAGAGCTCTAAGCCGGATTGCTGCTGCTGCTGCTGCTTCTTGGGGATGGATTTGATCGGGGGGATGTGGGTCTTGGAATCGGAGGCGGGCTTGGAAGCGGAGGCGTGCTTGACGGTGTCGGAGGATCCGGTGAGCATTTGGACAACCTGCTTGAAGGAGGAGGTATTGGCCTGGACGAAGGTAGTGGGATAAGGGGCGGCGGATTCGGATCTGGTGATGGGCTTCGGAGGGGCAACTTGGTGGGGCTGGACTCCGTTGCCGGCGACGGGGGGAGAAGTGACGAAAGGAGAAGAGGGGTTGGCATTAGTGTTCTCTTGGTGCCTGGGAGATACAGAAGCCATGGATGATTGAGTTGAGAGCTGAGGGTTGAGAGAGCACAAGACGAAGATGATGAGGAGAAGAGAGTTTGCTACTTGGTGCGTGTTTTGGTGAGAAATGTGGCAAAGACCAGACCTTGGTGTGTGTCTTTGTTTACGGTGAGCAATGTCACGCGCTGGAGAATGGAAAGGGAAAATAGAGGGGTGGGGAAGACGCGTGGGGAGGGGAGGGTGGGGGAGGGAAGAGGAGGAGGAGAATGGTGGGGGCCACGGGGGAGGGAAAGCGTCAACAAGAGATTAATAAGAGGCATTGACTTGCAGTAGCAGAGGCGCCATCATTATTCTGACTACACTAATATCCTATTTTGCCTTTCACTTCTTTTCCTTCGCGTTTCTCCGATCTTTGATTTCAGCTCCCAAGCAACCACCTCTCGCCGTTTTTTATAACCATGTATCTTCTCCTTTTTTATACTATTGATCACAACTATTCATTCTATTTAAACTATTCATTATATTACCAAATATTTATTTTGTTGCAGTGTGATTAAATTATTGTCTGTGTCATGTAGCATCACCTCTTTCCTACAGTGCTAGTCCCTCTCACCCTTTCCATGGATTTCATATTTCCCATCCCACTCTCACCATCACGTTGCCAATTTTCTTTTTTTTGATCCCAATCAATGAATCATCAATCAATTACTCACCTTTCCTCTTTTGCTCTTATTTACGAGTTTGTTTTAGTCATATTTACAGTTGCTAAGATCATTTTTTATCTATTTTATTAAACAATAAAAAAGTTATTAAATATTAAAAGATTTTATTTTTAAAGTACCTATTTAATAAAAAAATTTAAAAAATTATTAAATTTTTAAGTAAAGTTAATAATGTTTAAAATTTTTTATTTATGTTAAACGTGTTAGAAAGTGATTTATGAATAAAATAAAATAAAAAAGCAACAACAACAATAACAAAGGTCGGTTATATTGATTAGATAATGTTATTATATTATATTATTTATTAAATTTTTAAAATATTGTTAATTAAAAGATCTTGATCAATAATTTTTATAAATATTCTCTTTAGCTTTCATCTATCTCTCTTAATAAATTTTTAAAATTATTTATTTCACTTTTCTCTCCCTTTGAAATAAGATTAGGAAGAATATATAATGTGTTTTCACTAACCTAGCAGCTCATAAATAGTAGCAAAATTTAATAGATATGATTTTCTTTTAAACTGCATTTTCTTATTGGAAAAAATTTAGCAAAGAACCACGCTAAGAATCTATCCTTAAATTGCAGAGAATTTTTCCTGCGGTAGCGTAGAAAGTTCCCGTTTGACTTTTCGGATGCCACAGTTTCCATTGCAGATAACTGCCTGTTATACTTAACGGTTGACTATCATCGGCGAAATCAACCAACTCTATGCATTTAAATTAATATTACTCTTTAGAGAACAAAAATTCTAAAATCAAATTTATCTTGGAAGCAATAAACTATCAAAAAAAATCAAACACATGAAACTTGAGATGAGAGAAACGTCGTTGAAGAGTCTTTTTTTTTTTTTTTACTTAGTGGATGCCAGTAAATTGAATCTATTAACCAGTCATTGAATGGGAAGACCAGGTATAACCAAATGACCAATGATGTTGAGGAATCGGGACAATGTTGTCAAACTAATGTGACTTAACTTTTCCAAAGTCAACCACTCGGATGCCCACAAAAAGAAAAGAAGGTACTTGAAACCCCAATGTCAGGATCCTAAGCTAAGAAAGCATGCACCAATGAAATATTTAAAAAAAAAAAAGAAACAGAGATGAATGGTGAATCCAATTCTCTCTCTCCCGATGGAAAAGAATCAAAGCTTAAAAAAGGAAGAATAATAGTTAAGTTCCTTCAAATGCCAATCAATGTTAACAAAGTTTTTTGGTCATTCAAACCAAGTCTATCAGTTATAGAGATTTACAACTTCAGCTATCAATTTTATAATATTGTGTGATAACACGAGATGGAATAGAGAATAAATCAAATTTATGGATTGGACAGCGGTTGATGCAGCCACTCGTCACGTTTGATTATTTTATTCCCAATGAATTGACGCCCCTTGATCGTCTTCTCATCATTCACTGTCTCCTTTCTATTTCACAACTACCCGTTCCCAACTCTGGAATGAAGTAGGGACTTAATATTCATTATTCTGTTTTTTTTTTCCCTAATTTTTTTGGGGTGTCAAATGATCTTGTTGGGACATGAGGAATTTAAGTTTGGAAATTATAATATTGAAGAACAGAAGAAATTGGTAGGAAGAGTTGGTGTGGCAGAAATTAATGAAGCAACTCAGTTATAAATAAATACACACCAAATATGCAGTCACCCCTGGAAGTTCGGATAACAACATAAAACCAAGAACTCACTTGAATGTTCACTGCACAAATTGTCTTTTCTAAAATGAAAAATTGTAATTAACCTTACTAATTACTCTTTCCGTCACAAATTATAAAGCACTTTTGGGAAGAAATTTTTGTCTCAAAATATAAGATATTTTAAAAATAATTAAATATATATATTTTAATATTACTTTTTCTCCCTCTATTTAATATCAACTAAGTGTAGGTTTAAGGTTATTAAATGAATGATATTTTTAAAAGCTTATATTTTTATTTTAAACAAAAAAAATTATTAAGTATATTTAATAAGATTTATTAATATTTGAGATTTTGTCTAAAAAAAATTTTATAATTTCAAATAGAAGAAGTACATTTTACGATCATCTTGATTAAAAAAAAAAACAAGAAGACTCATGAGTCATAAATATTTGTACAGAATGAGCTGAGGCCTCTAAGCCTCAATGGGCTTTGCGGGTAATACCCATTGTTTATTTATTTGGGCCAGAATGTATTTTTACAGGCCCGGGATTAATGATTTCAACAAGCCCCTTGAAGGCTTTGGAAATCTTGTACTGAGTCCTGACTATGAAGTAGCTTTTATTTTGCTACAGTGGACGGCTCCAAGTTTAGTCAAATAAAAAAATTAATGAATAGAAAAATTTGATATTTTCAATTAACTGAATTTATGTGGATTAAATTCTCCTATACCAAAAATAAGGCGTTGGTGGAAATTACCAGAATTGGGGGAGGACTGAGGAGACATGAAAAATATTCCCATGACAGGAATAGTGAAGGATTGAGGGATCCAAAGCCCCAGAGAATATGTCCACAAAAGGTCTCAAGGTCTTTGCTTATATATCTCAATTATTACTACACATTTTGACCTTTCTGCTTTTACCACTTTAGCCCTTGACCCAAAGTCACATATTCCTCTTATCCTATTTATAGGATAACTATAAAAAAAAAATTTAACCCTATTTATAAAACATTTATTAATTTTTAATACTCTTTTTTATTTTTTTCATATTAAATATTTTAAATAAAAATATTAATAATGAAGTTTAAGAATATCTATTAAAGGTAAATGTAAAAATTGATTAAATTTTAAAATAAAATTAATAAAATTTAAATTTTTTATTTGATTCTGACAAAATATATTGAGAGCGAAAATATGAGTGAAAGAGCGAGCATTTACACCTCCATTCCGCCACTTTCTTTCTCATCTTTTTGGAAACCATAAGCATTCTCTCTCCTTCATTATAATCCAACTAATCATTACTTCACATAATCACATGCACACCAAATGTAAATTCATGGCCCCTTGGACCCCAACATAATAATCATCATTCACTTTTACCATCTAATTACGGCTCCCTCCATCTCATATTATAAAACAATTTAAAATAATATCACACATAATAATAAAATTTAATAATAATATTTTATTTTATATTTTTAAAACAACAATATAAATTTTTAAAATTTACATAATTAATCATTATATTATAATTACTTCAATTCTCTCCCTACAAGAAGGGTAGTAACATTAAAAAAATGTTTACATTAAGGAGGATAAGAATTAATTACTGACCGCATTTATAAGATTACTTTTTATATCAAAAAAACAAAATTCCTCATTTAACCTTTTGTTTTTTCCTTGAAGAAGACACTATACCCAGAAAAAGACGCAATAGATGCTGAGAAGAATCCACAACAAGCCTCTTCTCCTCGATTTCCTTAAGCACGAAAAAAAGTTCTTTCGATTTACTTTTTCAACAGTCCTGAACTTTGCTGAAAATCCTTAATCTGAGGCATGTTTCCATTATTTCTCCCCATGCTGAATCATTATCTAATGTGGCTAAAATGATGTTGATTCAAAATTTTCCCCCATGTCGAACAACTCAATCATGACTCTCAGCTTTGATTTTTAGGTGACTGAGGTTTAAAGTTTAAAACCTGAATTATACTAAGCCATAGTTGAAAGATTAAATCTCAGTCAAAATTAAAAACTAAGAGCTTGTTGGTTTCTATTCTTATTTTTTGTTTTTAAAAATTGTTTAGAATATGGTTTTAAACTTTCAAAACAAAACAAAACAAAATACATATTCTGTTTGGTTATGTTAGTTTTAAAAAATAGACTAATAGTGATAATTATAGGTTGTTAATGATGATAATTTATGATAAAAATTAAGATAACTGTAATTTTTAATAATTAAAATAAAAGTTATTTTGAAAATAAGAAAAATAAAACTAAAAGAACGGTTTCTATTTTTTTTATTTTTAAAAAATAAAAAAAGTTTTAAAAACATTTAAATTAAAAATACTTATTCAAATAAGTTTTAAAATTTTTTATTTTTAAAAATACAAAACAAACATGTCCGGAAACATTAATTTTCTTCTTCTTCTTCTTCTTTTTTAAGCAAGGCACTTCTCTATTTCCAAGTGATTACCGTGTCTTTTATCTTGGACGACCGACATCTTATGAACAGTGTAAATTATCTTTGAGGTTGTCCTAATGGCTACACCAGATACTAAACTTAGGGGCGTTCTTCAGAGAAAGAAAGAAAATGGAAATGGATCAACAAGGCAGTGTAAAATATGCAAGAGCACAATCCATTATATCATAAATCTTATTGTGTGACTCAAGCATAGGCACAGAAGCTACACCATTACACAACTTCAGGGGCATAATCAGACGCAAATCTATTCTCACAGAACACTAGAAAGTGGGAGAAAACAAAAACACCAACGATGAACCCCAAAAAAAAGGCAACGTACAACAGCTATTACAGTAGTTCATCTTCACATCCAGAAATTAAATTATATTAATTTATATTCTCTGTGCATCTTCTTAACGCGGGCATTTGGGCTCGAAAGCCAGAGGCGCAACAGTGTAGAGAACGAAAGGAAGCTTGTTGGACACGAAGGGCTTCTCTGGTTTGAGGGCTGCGCCGACAATGCCTCCGTGGAGGTTGGACGGCTTCTGACACGTGGCAGACGGCGAAGAGACCAGGAACACCTTACACGTGTGAACTCCGAAGGTGGTGATGGTCTTCGGAGCCTCCAGGTAGTAGTAGCCATTCTTGTCGCTCTTCGCCGTTTCCGACAGAGGGTACCTGCTGTTGTTGCACTGCAGCTTCACAACGGCTCCTGCAATTTCAAAACGACAGTACGTCAGTTGTCGTTTAGCAGATCATCATCATAGTACCCGCTACGCAACGTTAGTTTTATTATAGTCCTCGAGTACTGATGGTCCCGGAGCCCGCAATCAATGCCATCATTCCTTGTCTCCTTGTCCTCATTTTCTCAACAAATTTTCAGCTTTGAGAAAAGGATATGGCTACTTTATTTTCTGGGTTAGCTGAAACAGCAAACTTTAGCCTGCACCTATGTACTATGACTTTAGCTACCACTCCTCTCACTCATTCACTCACTCTCATTGTCTTTGCACTTACTTTACAAAAAATATACCAAAAGCTAAGGTCTAGAAATGGTCAAATCTAGTTTCACTTTATTTAATCTCCGGATAAATGTAACTTGCTCCTCTGTTAGAGATTTAATCAACCACTTAACAGACATAGAAAGTGAAAGAAAATTGTAAATCTCAGTACATGGTAGCAGATAGGAGTAATGTTTACCAGCAAAGGAAAACAAAGATGAATGAATGAAGTATAATGCAGTATACATGGCGATCAATTTGGGAAAGGAGTAACTAAACGAGAGCAACAAACACAAAAATGCAGGTAAAAGTACATACGAAGTTAGAAGGCAGCTTGTATAGGTGCACAGAAGTGAAAATGGTAGGTTACAGGTATACAGATTATGAACAATGTGAATTAAAAAAGAAAGAAAGAAAGAAAGGGAAATACCGAGAGCAGGAGTGGCTCCGAGGAGAGTGTCAACACCAGCATACTTGCAGGACTTACAGTAAACAACACCCTGGACAGCGACAAAGCTTCTGGGGAAGGGATGATGAGGAGGAACATGAGGAGCAGGGGTAGGAGGGTAATGGTGAGTGGGGGGTTTCACCGGAGCCGGGGCCGGAGTAGGAGGGTAATGGTGAGTGGGAGGTTTCATCGGAGTCGGAGTAGGAGGGTAATGGTGAGTGGGAGGTTTCATCGGAGCCGGAGTAGGAGGGTAATGGTGAGTGGGAGGTTTCATCGGAGCCGGAGTAGGAGGGTAATAGTGGGTGGGAGGCTTAACCGGAGCCGGAGTAGGAGGGTAATGGTGGGTGGGAGGCTTCATCGGAGCCGGGGTAGGAGGGTAATGGTGTGTTGGGGGCTTGATCGGAGCCGGAGTAGGAGGGTAATGGTTGGTGGGGGGCTTGACCGGAGCCGGAGAAGGAGGAGGAGGGTAATGGGGGTGAGCAGGGGTAGGAGTGGGAGGGTGGTGGTGGTGGTGGTGGTGGTGGCCGTGGGGGGCGGGGGCGGGTGCCGGAGAGGGAGGGTGAGGATGAGGATAAGAGGGAGGAAGAGAGTCAAGCTCCTCGGAGAAGACAGAGAAGGAGGAGGTTAGAGAGAGAAGAAGAACAAGAAGCAAGCTTGACGCCATCTGTGGGTGTGCCCTCTCACAGGCAGAGAAACAAAGCAGAGGAGGAAGGCAAGGCTGAGAGAAGGGGACTGACGATGTTCCTTTGTGGATTTAGGTGCTCATTTATAGCCAAGTTAGCAACTAAACCGCCTTGAAAAATTAACTCTCCCACTTCTAAATTTTGTAATTTTTTAAAAAAAATTAAAAAATAATTTTTCTATTCCAGATAGAAAAATTATTTAAAAGAGAATTGCGCCTGCTTTTTAAATTAATGATAGATTATTTATTAATTTATGAAATCTAACTCAAATTGTTATATTTTTTTAGCAAAAGCAAAATTATTGTAATTTGCTTGTTTAACTTATTTCACATTGTTTTAATAGAATCATATTATATATGGTAGTTTTGAAATTTGAACTTTTGCACATTTTTAATCTTTTACTGATTAGAACAAATTTTAAAGTTAAGTTTGACTGTTTGACAATTATATTTTATTTAATAGATTTTTAACAACAACAAAAATAAAACTGCGTTAAGTTTGGGATTTGGCCTCTTCCTGCTAATACAAATTATTTAGAAGCCTTTATCGTTCCCAATTAATTTCGTGTGCATGACAAGTATTATGGCTATAAGATATTGCAGTATGGGACTATGGGAATGACATGTTTAACTTTTACGTTCGTAAGTCTGAAGTTAAATTTTAAAGTATGGAATTAAAGATGTATATTTTCAATCATTAAATTATTAAATTTCATATGTGCATATGAAAGATTAAAATAAAAAATTGCATCCTAAAATTTTGATTGAAAGGAAGGAAGAATTTCATATAAATTCCAAATAAAAATAATCACTTAAAATTTTGAAGAAATAATTAATTTTCTTGTTTAAGTTTAATACTACCAAAAAAAAAAAAAAAGCTGGGGTGCGGCTTTTGCAAATGGCTAAGGAAAGTGGTCGTTAGGGATAAGCTTTGCCGGACATTAATCATTGCAAGAAAGTAGACAAGCAGTGCCCTCTCACAAAAAAAATATATATATATATATATATATATATATTTACATGTGTGTGTGCGTGTCTATATGTATGTATTTGTGTGTATATATGTATGTATGAATGTATTGCGTTGTAAGACCACTTATTGAGAGAATATGTAAATAATCCTGAAAGCAATTTAATTTTATAAAAGAATTACTAATAAGTAAATATTAATAATTAATAAGTAAAATTATTGTTTCAATAAGTATTCAATCTATTCAAATCGTTGTTAATTTTTTTAGAAATCCTTCATTAATATTTTTTCTCTTTTTTTTTGCGTAAACCACATAAAGAGCCTTGTAGATTTTTTTTTTTTGCGGTGTGTTATTTGTTTATTTTTGTTTTGATTTCCCAAATCTTTAATTCAAACTAATTGGATTGATAACTTGACAACACTTCTTTATAAAGACTATAACCCGAGTTCTAATGTTAAGTTGGATCAAACCCGAATTACTTGATACAAGCACTAGAGGTTTGATGCGTTATTTTTGACATTTTTGACTTTTGTTGCCATAATTTTTAATTATATGTTACTATTCATATAACTGGAACAAGAATAGAAGAAACATTGCACCTAAAGGTCTTGTCTTGAAAAACTTTGGATGAAGGGCTTCATCAAAAATTTAAATTTAGGACTTTAATTTTACAAAATAATTTTATATTGTTGGTATCATAATTATGACTTCAACAAATTAACTAGATAATATCTTTTTTAAAACATAAGGAGTGAGTTCTGCCGACAATATATAATATCTTCCTTGAGATATTAAAATGGCCAGGATAAAAAATCGCTTGCTTATGTAAAAATGATCTTACTTACAAAGCTTGATCTTGAACCTTGTGGGCTCTTTTATATTTTTTAAATGTTTTTCCCTTTTTGATACATAAACAAAATAAAAAATATTATGGAATTCTTAATTTTTTTTGGCCAAATGGAATTCTTAATTCAAATCATAAATATTAACAAACTAAAGAATTAAACCATTGTCCAAGGTTATTTAAATCAAATAATTCTTCTCTAAATCTAAGTAAGACAATAACAATTACATTAATTAGTAGCAACATTAACGTCATGATTATACAAAAGGACTCCTATTCCAAGTAATAAAACATTCAAATTTCTAAATTTCTAATTCAAATCATACAATCTCAAATTATAAAAGTGTAAAAATACTCTATTGTCAAAGATATAATCTACAAAACATTAACACACATACATAACATAAATCAAATAATTGTCTAAAGTCCAAATTAAATCAAACAATTTTTTAAAGCTCTGATGAAGAAATCATTTGAAATTAAATGAACCAAATTATTATGTAAAGTTCAATTTAAAAATGTAATAACAACAAAGTATTTGAAACATTATCAATAATATTAGCATACTAAAAATAATTAAGAAATTAAATAAATAAAAAGGCTTAGAAGGATTGGTTCTTAACTCTACATGAATTGCTTATTTAGAGCATTGGTTGACTAAAATGAGTTCCTATAAATTCACTTTTTTTTTTTTGGAATTATTAGGTCTAAATGGGCTGACCTTGCAAGCTCAAACTGTTGTCCCAACTCTAGGAGTATTCACGGGATGGGACAGAACAGAGACACTCTTGTTTTGAAAAAAAGATTGGGACTGAATTTTGATCTCATATCCCATCCCATCCCTTTAGAAGTCGAGACAAGATCGAAATATCTCGTCATCCCGATAAATAGGATAATATCGGAGAAAGATTTGAATAATAATGTTCATTAAAATTTTAAATCATATAATTTATTAAGTTTAAAATTAAAACAATATAAATACATAAATCACAACAATTTAAAGTCAATTATTGAATTATATTAATCATAACTACACATTATAATAGCAAATACAAGTAATTTTTATGTTATAAGAGTAGTAATAATAGGCAAGTCAAGCACAATATCAAATCATTGTTCTTCTACTTTAGTAGAAATGTAATAAACTAGTTACTTTTTTGAAAATAAAGCAAGAAATATGTTATAAATAAAAGTTATTAAATGAATAGATATAATAATAAATTATATTAATACAATTAATAAATTATAAAGAAAGATATTGTCATGTTTACTCCATGTCATTAAAATTATTAATTAAAAAAAATTAGTTTTAAATATGAATTACAAGTATTGAAATTATAATTAATATAAATATAAATTATATTAATATAATTAATATATTTAAAATAAAAAATAATATATATAATATTTGAGATAGGATGGGATATCTCGACGATAATCTCATGTCTCATTCCATCTCAAATTTCTTTTCTATCCTGTCCCGTAAATCTTATCCCAATTATTTTTAGATCGAAACAAGACATGTCTCAATATAATCAAAATGATATCAACCCAATAAAAATAGGTTCAAGTTAAACACCCCTGCTCCACTCTATCTATTTTGGGCATAGGCTTTGTTAGATTTACCATCAAGGAGTAGGATCCAATTCTAATTTTTTGTATTCATAACTCTAATATTATTTATCCATATTAGCGGAAATTAGTGATAATATTTTAAGAAGAACAAGCCTTAAAATTCTTGTTCCTTCACGGAAGATCACAGATGTTAAATTCTTTGTAATGTTTCGGGTGATTTGGGTTTTAAAATTTTAATTAAAGGTGTCATTAAATTAAAATTTAATGGTTTTTATATAAACTTAAAATGTAATGCTAAAAGGAAAAACAAAAAAATGACATTTAAGCTCAAAGAGAATAAATTAATAACAACAAGGTACCTCAAAAAGAATTTTAAAAAAATTATAAATATTAATTCAAATTTTAAATATTTACAAATAAAAATTCTTGTTCAATTTAAGAATTATATTTAATATAAAAATATTTATTTATAATTAAAAACTTTAAATTTATAATTATTGAGATTGATATTTTTAACTTATTTTTAACAAAAATTTATTAAAATTTTAATTATCATTAATTTAGTGTTTTAGCATTTACGTGATATTGTTAAAAAAAAAAAAAGAGGAAGAGGCCAATGAAGAATAGGAAAAGAAGGCACATGCAGTGGCCCAATATTTGGAATTTTGCACTCCTTTCTATGCGCCTGGAAGTTTCCCAAGGTCTTCTCGGTAATTGCACCCTTTTTTCCTTCACTTTTTATATACTTTCACTCTTTTTTATAAATATTCCTTCCATATTTTAATGTTAATAATCGGATACGTTAATTAATACTTACCGACATTTAAAACCCAGGAATTTTTTTTTTGCCAAAAATTAAAACAAAATACTAAAATAGAAAGAAACCAGGATTTTTGAAACAAAGGATGTCATAACTGGTGAAAGGGAGGGAACATTGTTTGCAAGAAGAAGGGCAATAATAATGGAAAATTTGAAATGTAGTACACAAAATAGATATGTATTTTTTTTTTGTTTGAATTAAATTACTTTTGACTCATTCTACATTTTTTAGACTTCGGATTTATTAACGTAAATACTAGATTAAAGTATTGGTTGAAGGGATCAGGGGATATTTTTGGATTACATTAAGGTTTTTAACACGTGTATGTATGAATTCTAGCCAATTTTCACTTTACACCCCAATAACTAACACAAAGTCCAACACGGTTGAAATTGTTGCATGGATTTGGTGCTTTACACCATCCTTACTCTATCTAATTAAAGCATGACGTGTGAGGTGACTAACTGTAAATACAATTAAATTGATTTTGTGAGAATGCAAACACAAAATTAAAGAAACATTCAATTTTAAAAATAAATTTATTAAAGATAATAACACATAATATTTTTCTCCCCAGCTTAGTTTAAAATATAAACAAATTAATACATGTAAAAAAAATTCTTCCATTTTACCCCTTATATCTATTAATCTAGATACTTATGTAAATATATCTCTCACTCTTCATATAATGCATTGGTTGTCATGACTAATGATAAAACAGAAAAAGCAATACATATTTTTATAAAATAAAAATTTTATTGGCATGCAAATTTTTTCAAAAATAATATGGAAAAACATATATTTTTGTTCTTACACTTTACTCGTGTTTTACTATAAATTCCTACATTT